TGCTGCACTGAGAGAGGTGATTGATCTCCACCTTTTGAGGTTTGATTCTTTTCTTCATCTCTTCTCCAGAGAGAGAGAGGTTTGCCTTATTCTACTGGGTTTGTTTTGGCAGTGGAGGTGTTTTTTGCCCCTTTTTTTTGTTTGTTTTTAATGTTTTATTCTTGCTGTTGCTAATTGGCCTCCCGATCCAAACTTAAAATGCCAAAGGTGGTATTTTCTGTAGCTTCAAGTCCTGAAAACCTCAGCTAGAAATTGAAGTCTCCAGCCCTTTGTTTCATCATGGGTGATAAATTTTCCCATCAAAAGCTTCACAGCTTATTTGCCTGTGATATGTGAAGCCAAAGGAAACAGAACTTGTTCTTCCACAGTTATAGGGCTATAAAGGCATAATAAAAATAAATGTGGTAACAGTAGACACAACACCTCTGAATATGAGCCCTCAGAGTCAGCAGTTCTGTTGGATAGGAAGGTATTTTTATCAGCAGAGGATGTTACAGAAACTCAACACCCCACACCCAAAAGTGTCCATCTCTTGTGAGTACAGAAGGCCCAAACACATCACTGCAAAACATTATCTGTGCAATTAAATTAGACCTTTAGAAAGAGTAGATCCAGAGGCTTCCTTTGAAATTCCTTTATAAAAACAGTGAGCATATTTAATGCTCATGCCACCATTCCACAGCACAGCTCCTGAAGGCTGCTCACAGCTCATGGACACACAGAAATAATGATGGGAAACTCTGCTCTGGCTCTTGTTTGCCATTGCAGAGGGATTTTCTTCTGCCAGGAGTCACTCTGGGTTGTACAAAAATACCATTGTTCCCCACATGAAGGGATCTGCCCACCGAGGTCTCATGGGCTAATTACTCTCTTTTTCCCTGTTTCCAGATTTTGCAGAGTTTGTTTTCCTGGGGCTGTTCCTTACTGAGATGTCTTTGAAGATGTATGGACTGGGGCCAAGGAACTACTTCCACTCTTCATTCAACTGCTTTGACTTTGGGGTGAGTAAGATGAATCACAGAAGACTTTGGGTTGGAAGGGAACTTAAAATCATCCCTTCCACAGTCAGGGACACCTTCCACTAGCCCAGGTTGCTCCAAGCCCTGTCCAACCTGGCCTTGGGCACTTCCAGGGATGGGGCAGCCCCAGCTTCTCTGGGCAACCTGTGCCAGGGCCTCCCCACCCTCACAGGGAAGAATTCCTTCCCTATATCAAATCTAAGCATGAAACCATTCCCTCTTGTCCTGGCACTCCATGTCCTTGAAAAAAGTCCCTGTGTGGCTCTGCTGTCATCCAGCAGGATGGGCATTCCAGGGTGGGTGTGGCAATCCAAGGGAAATGGTGCTGGGAGTGTTTCTTCTGCAGGGAGCAGTGGTTGCATAAATTAACTGCAGTTAAACACATTAAGCTTCTCTTCCTTATCATCCTTTTTTGAGGCAAAGTGACAGCGGGGGTTTCATTTCCTCAGAAACTCCGGGGTGTTCCAACGCTCTGATTGCCCGGGGAGATTCTCCCTCCCATTTCAGTGAGGTGATTGAAAGACAAAAAATGGACAAAAACCCCACACATCTTCCTGCTCATCTCCTCTGTCATCCCTTGAACGGCCTTTCCCTCAAGATGCACAGGCAGCTCTTTGCAGTGCCCAGAAGGAGAAGAGTAAACCCATGATTTGTGACGGGAAGGCAATAACCCACATCCAGAGTCAGAGAATCATGGAATCAGCTGGGCTGGAAGGGACATCAGAGATCATCCAGTCCAACCCTTGATCCAACCCCACCGTGGTTCCCAGCCCATGGCACTGATGCCACATCCAGTCTTGTCTTAAAAACCTCCAGGGACGGAGAATCTACCCCTTCCCTGGGCAGCCCATTCCAATGGCTGAGCACCCTCTCTGAAAAGAAATTCTTCCTAATATCCAACCTAACCCTCCCCTGGCACAGCTGAAGACCGAGCCCTCTTGTCTTGCTGATGGTTGCCTGGGAAAAGAGACCAACCCCCCCCTGGCTCCCCCCTCCTGTCAGGGAGCTGTAGAGAGTGAGGAGGTCTCCCCTGAGCCTCCTCTTCTCCAGGCTGAACAGTCTCAGCTCCCTCAGCCTCTCCTCACAGCACTTGTGCTCCAGTCCCTTCACCAGCCTTGTTGCTCTTCTCTGGACCTGCTCCAGGACCTCAATGTCCTTCCTGAACTGAGGGGCCCAGAACTGGACACAGTTCCAGGCTCAAACTACAGCTCTGAAGTGTGAATAGTGGGGCTGCTTTTGGCTCCATCTAACAAAGGACATGGTGTGTGGATGGTAATTTATTCATTAAAAGCTATTAGGCTGTAATCTGTCCTCACAGAGGATAACTTGGCTCTTATCTTCAGTGTGGGCAGAGCAGGATTGGGGCTGGGAGGTTTCTGTACCAAAGCAGATATGAAGCTCTCAATCCAGCCAGGGGCAAGGGGAGAACAGTTCAGGTCACTGTGCACGTCATCCAGCCCTGCTCTCTAAGATTCAGTCTGCTGGTTCTACTGTTTGTCTGTCAGAATGCTGGGAGTGACTCTCCTCCCCCACGGAGCAAAATTCCCTCGAGGGAGGAGGAATTCTCACCTTCAGGAAGTGACCTCTCCTCAATCCAAGGCTAGGAGTAGAAACAACTCACTCTCTTCTTGGCTGGAAAGCTCAGAGTGAACTGACTTTGAGATGAAAGCCCCCAGCTCAGGGATCACCTGTGTGGGAAAAATCCCTCTTTTAAATTTAGGAAGAAGACATAAACTCAGGGAACAAAGAAACAAGGAAGAATTTATTCAGCGTGCCAGGTCTTTCTCTCACTGAATTTCCAGGGAAAAAGACCATTTGGATTTAAATTCCACACATTTTATAGTTTCACAAAATCCCACCCTTTTTCAGATAAGTTTAATATATTCACTTTTACCTAAAAAGGTTTCTTTTCTCTGAAAAGGGGCTTTCCCTTTATTCCAATTGGCTGTGAGCCATCCCCTGTCAAAGATGATGGATCTTCCTTTGTTCTTAGCCCAAAGAGAAAAGGAACCTCGTGTGCAACATGGCCCCAAAAGATTTTAATTTTTGAGAACTTTTACATGGCCCTTATCTGGCTGAAAATGACCCTGATACCCAAGTTCAGTCTGTGGAACTTGGATATCTTACAACTTCACATTATGCCTATATATGTATATATGAACCGTATTTTTATTTCTCATAATATAAAAACCTTATTTTTATTTCTCATATCACTGCCTTGTTTAAATTCCCTGGTAACAGGCTGATGTCTCTCACCAATGGATTAGGTGAGCTCCAAGCCGGCTGTGAGTTTCCTTGGATCCCTGTGTCCGGGATGCTCCTCCCACAACCAGCCCTTGCACCTGCCAGTCAGGGACAGGTGATTTAGGAGCTTGCACTCGGCCAAAGACAAACCCCCCAGCGTCTCTCTGTGTTTGTGCAGCGCTGGCAACGAGCTCTGAGAGTGTTTCCCAGGAGGTTCAAGCTGTTGATCTGTTTTTAATTCTTCCTCCTTCGGAGAATCCGCAGGGATCCTACTTCTGGTTATATTTCTTCCTCCTCACCCACCTTCCAGCCCCCAGAACATCACATAGATCTGTAGCCAGTTTAGTCTGACAAACCGTCAAGACGAAACCATTCAAATGCAAAACGCGAAACAACAAATCAGAGCAACATCAGCCTTGGGAGTCCCAGTCCAGAGGGGTCTCCTGTGAAACGGGCTCCCAGGAGGCCCTGCTGGGATGCCGAGATAATTAATTATCAGTGTAACATGTGGAAGGTCCAAGGGAAGGGTTTTGCTGATTCACGAGGGATTCCCAAGAGTGAGAAACTGCGGGAGAGAAGTTTTAGCTCCTTCTTTTTCGGATGGGACAAAAGGGATGAGCAACTGCCGTGTACCTGATTTTTTTTTTTTTTTTTGAAGCTCGGGGCACAGCGTTTCTTGCAGGTATCAGACCCAGCCCTGGCTCCCTGTTAACATTCCCTCCCCCGGCACAAACCAGCTGCTTGCTGGGTTCTGCTGAGAGGGTTTATGGTGTGTTTTGCCCACCCGGGGACCAGGGGCAGTGGGAGCTCTGAGATGCCGGGTTAATGTGAGCAATAACAGCAATTGGCAGCGAAATGCCTGTTTTATCTTATTAACTGTGCAGCAACCTGCGCGGAGATAATTGCCCTTTCCGGCTGTGCTTAACCCATTGCTGCTTTGTCCTTTTGGTAATGAAGGATTTCTCAGAAGGTTTTTTTTTCCCGTTGCTCCGGGTTAATTCCCTGCCGTCCTTAAACCCCCCAGCCAAAACAAAACAGGACTTAAAAAAATCCACCTCGATTTGGGACGACTTTGTCAATCCCCCGAGGCAGCTGGTTGGATGTGTGTGCTGGAGGCTTTGCGGGGTCTCACAACAGCAATTGCTTTAATTGCCCTCCTAAACACTCTCAGTTGCCAGAAGTTTCTGGTGGATCTCACCCGGAGCTTCGCTGTTCTGCTGCAGGTGAAGATTTTTGGTCCTGCTGATGGGCAGGGAAGGACGGGGCAGTGCCCCCCTGGATCTCTGCACAGACCCACTCTGTGGGGTGGGAAAACGAAGTGTTGGCATTTGCAGTTGAGCCAGTGTTAAAAAAATTACAATAATAAAGCACAGTGTCATTCCAAAAAGGTTATTTTAAGGTAGTTTGATTGCTGGAGAAAAAGGAATAAGTTCCTGACTGTGTATGGGAGATCCCAATGTGTTCTGCTGCTGGGTATTGCCCTTTTTCAGTCTGGGCTGCAGAAAGTTGGGATAAGGATTTCCAGTGGTAAAATTAGGGATTTCCAGTGTTCTTGGTTAAATTAGGGATTTCCAGTGCTCTTGGCCAATTTATGATTTTCCTGAAGTTTTCCTAAGAAAACCATCACAGCCTGAGCTCTGATTCCTGGGCTTTCCTCGGCCTCACAACAGAGAAATAAGGAGAAGTTTTGCCTTATGGATATTAAAAAACACAACCTTTTTTCTTGCAGGTCATTGTGGGAAGTATATTTGAAGTCATTTGGGCTGCAGTGAAACCAGGAACCTCATTTGGCATCAGTGTATTGAGGGCACTTCGACTGCTGAGGATTTTCAAAGTAACAAAGTAAGTCCAGCTCCCTTTTCACTTTCACAGTAGCCTTCTAGCACCACATGAAATCTGGATTACCAACCCCACAGCAAGGAGGAGTGGTTTTGTTGATATTTTTATTTATCTATATTTTTATTAATTATTTATATTTATAAAAAATAAATAAATAAGTAAATAAATAACCAGAAGCTGGAGGGGAAAAAAACCCCCAAAACTATGCCCCAAACCCCTGGTTTTGCTGGTACAAAAGCCTGTCCTGACATGTCATTAGGATGGTCCTGATGGGAGCAGGAGCAGAAGGGAACTGCAGATGCAGAATTGCCCTTTTCCTCGGCTGGGCAATGGAGGTTTCTGGCAGCTGGAAATTTTGGGAGTTCCTGAGCCTGTATTTGCATCCACAAAGATTTTTAACAGCCCTTTTTTCCCCCCAGCCTCCTGTACAGGCTTTTCTGCCCTTGGGCAGAGGGTTCCACAGTGTAATGATGGGCTGCAGGAAAATATCCTTTTTTTGCTTTGTTTCTGGGCTTGTTTAAAACAAAAACCTCATTATGTTCCCCCTTAACTCTTGTGGTAAAAGAAACAAATTCCTTATTGACTTTCTAAGTCCCATCAGCTGCTCGCTGTCCTCATCTGCTGCTCCTGAAGGATTTGGGAGCTGGAAAACCAAATACCCTGGGTATTGCTGGCTGCTAAATCCTGCTGCCTGAGCCCCTGTGTTGACACAAATAGGCAGAGTTTTGCTGCTGCCTGTGCTGTGTCTGCTCAGGGCACGTCTGGGAGGTTGAATTTTCACTGGAGTTGTGTTGCCACAGCTTTTCCCTTGTTTTTGTGCTCCTGCCTCACGTTAATGTGCTCTGGCATCAGCAAACAGCTCCTGTGCCATTTAGAAACCCATCTAGAGCCATTTCTGCAGGCTTTCCAAGCCCTGGTGTACAAATTGATGACATATTTAGGTGCCCCTGCTGTTGTTTTCCACCTTATTTTTTTTCCACCGTTTCCTCCTCGGCTCTCCCTTCTTTCCATCACTCCCTTAACGCTCCTTGGCTTGAAGGAACAGGAGGAGGAATAAGAACTCCTGCCAAAAACACCCCTCGTGCACAACTGCCTGAAATAAATAAGGCCCAGGTGATGGCACTGGAACAAACCAATCATTGGAAGTCACTAGGAGCTTTGGCAGCTGTTTGAAGGTCCAGGTTTTGTTGGCTCTGGGGGGTTTGCTGGTTTGTATCTGTTCAGGATTGTGCAGATCCCAGATTTGTGTGTGATGCAGTGTCAGCTGTTGTACTCCAGGAAAAAGGGGATGGAAACATTAAGTTTCTGTGATTGTCTGGTAAAATAGGTGGGTACCTGCACCAAAAAATGTCACTGTAGTTTACCTTTGCACTAATCTTATGTATGGGAAGCTCCTGGTTTTGTAGGAAATTCAGAGCAATGAATCATCAGCAGATAATTTTATCCCCAGCTACTGAGATTTGTTGTGTCTGATTGTGTGTTGTGCTTTTTCAAAATTCTGGCCATTTTTGGAAGGTAAAATCTTATTTTTTTTGTGAGTTTTGACTATTCCTTTTAGCCAGTAGGATCGAGGGATGAATCACAAGAACTGTTTAGTTTGAAAAAGATCTTTAAGACCTTCAAGAGCATCGAATTCAACCGTTCCCCCAGCACTGCCAAGGCCACCACTAACCCCTGTCCCCAAGGGCCACATCCACACAGCTTTTAAGTCCCTGCAGGGATGGTGACTCCCCCACTGCCTTGGGCAGCTGTGCCAGGCCTGGACAAGCCTTTCAGTGAAGAACTTTTCCCTGATATCCACCCTAACCCTCCCCTGGCACAGTTTGAGGCTGTTCCCTCTTGTCCTATTGCTCGTTTCTCAGGAGAATAGATTTAACTCAACAAACCGAGCCCGGGGCTCCCCCTTTCTCAGGACATCAGTGACTTTGTCACCCCCTTGATCCTGATGTTCCCTTGACCTGATTGTGTGGAATTTTCACCTGATACGACAGGAATGTGCTCGTTGCGTGACCAGCAGCCACGTCCCTGCAGCTCCCACGGGATGATCCCACATTATCCCGGGGTTTGAGCTGCACAGCTCAGTCCTCTCATGACTCATGAGAGCCACCAAAGTGCTGCCACCAGGCACAGATTCTGCCCACACTCTCTCATTGCAGCCTTTGCTGTGAGAACACCCTGACCCTCAGTAGTTTCCTGTCTCCTTTTTCAATCTCTTCCATAGGAATTTCTCTCTGCAACTCCCTGCTCTGGTTTATTTTCCCTCCACGTTCAGCAGAAGCCAATTGCAGTCCCAGAATCCCAGAATGTTCTCATTTGGAAGGGACCCCCAAGGATCATCAAGTCTAACTCTCGACTGAATGGCCCAAAACAGGGGATTGAACCTGACCTTGGTGTTCTTAGAACCAAGTTTGAACCAACTGAGCTAAACTCAGTCCTCCTGCTTTGGATAATCAGTGGGATTATCCAATTATTACTTTGATTCCTGCATCCCAAATCAGTGTGACCATGGACAGAAAATTGTGCTTTGAATAACCAGTGGGATGAGACCTTTTCAATCCCAGTCTTAAATCCAAGTGACCATGGACAGCAAGAGTTAAAAAGTGAAATTCCAGCCGGCCTGAAAGGTGCCAGCAGGATCCACCAGGAGGGGATACAGACTGAGAGGGGCTAAAATTCAGCAGGGAGGACAAGGGCAAACCAGCTTCATGTGCTTGTCTTTGCCATGGCAGAACTGAACAGGGACTGACGTTGCAGAAATGCAGCTCCTCAGAATATCCTGGTGCTCTGGGTCAGGGTTTGGTGTTGAGCTATTCCAGGACAAGGTAGAGCCTCCAGCTCCCATGGATTTTGGGTCCAGTTGTGTTCCCTGTGAGGTGTGAAGCCCTTGGATGAGGCAGGTTTGGTCTGAAGCTGCTGTGTCCAGCAGGGGAGAGCTGTGGGAGCAGCAAATCCTCCCTCTCCAAGGAAAGCAGCCCAGCCCCTTTTGCTTTGGGACTGACCCTGAGCAGGTTTGGTCGCAACATTTCCACTGGGGATATTCTCCTGAGAGACCAAAGTTTATCCTGAAACCTCTGTCACTGTATTATGGAAGTCAATTTTCTTGGAATGGGAGTGTAACATCCTACTTCTCCTGGGATGGATGTGGTTGCATCACCCCCAGCACAGAGGAACATGGGGTGGTTCAGTCCTCCCAGCTACACCTGGGGGAAGGAAGAGGGGGAAAACAGACAAAGGAAAGGGGATGGTGACTCCAGCTCTTAGCTTCTCTCCCCATCAGCAGATCTGACAAATCCATGGGCTTCCTTCTGCTGGGGACCCACAGCCACACTGCAGGAATGGGCTCAGGGTGTGGATCCAACCCCAAACTGCAGCAGGAGGACACTCAGGGCAGGCATTCAGCTCTGCAGGGCAGCTCCCAGTGCCAGGCAGTGGAAATGAGAGAGGCCACTGGAGAAAAAGAGGGAAAAATTCCTCCCCCATGGCCTCAGACTCCCAACTTTGAGCAGAGGACACGTGAAATGGCTCCAAATCCCTCCTTTCCCACTGCCTGTTCCGACCCCGTTGTTCCACAAGAATCTGGGCCCAAAAGGAGCTCGTCAAAGAGCTGCACAGCTCTTTCTGCATTTCCTGACTCATTAGTTTTCCTAATATAAACCTCCCTGCCTGTTCTCAGCAGGGCAATAAAGGCAGGAAAGAGCTGTTTCCAAGACCCTTCCCAGCACTGCCATCACTCCACGTTCCTGCCTGTGGGTGTGCCAGGAGCTGCCTCCGGGCACAGGGGAGGCAAAACCAAACCATCTTCTCTATCTGGCCAGATGTGACTTGGATGTGTCAGTCAAGATTCAGGCTGAGCCTGAATTCCCTCTTGCCACGTTGGAATTATCATCCTGGATTTGTTCTCCCCCCTCCAAGGCTCTGTCCTGAACACCTGAATTTCCCCCCACCAAAGGCATGGCTGGGCACTGATGTGGGTGTGAAACTCCTACAGGAGTGTCTAAATATGTGGGAATTTAAATCCACTGGTTGATACTGGCTTTGGATGGGTTGGAAGGACACACCACAGAGATGTCCTGGTGGGAATGAGGTGTTTTTTCCTGATTTGTGTGTTATGGAGAGCTGGATTCACTGTTCCCACCTTCAGTGTCACCTTCATGATGTTGATAGATTTTTGATACCCGTGATGATTCGGGGCATTTTAGTTCTCATCTGGCTGCTGTGCTGGATGAGAAGATGCCAGAAGGTCAAAATCTATCCCAGGAAAGGGGATAGAGGAGGAACTAACCCAAACATTCACTGCACACAACTCAGTGTGGGTGCACACACACCAAGTGACCACCTCTGCCCTCAGGATTCTCCAAGAGATTTTCCACTCCATGAGCTGTGTTTTCCAACAGCAGAAGGGAGCTTAAAGAGGCTGATATTCCTTGTCATTCTTCTCCTGTTTTATAGTAAGAAAATCACAGAGTCAGGTTGGAAAAGACCTTCAAGATCATCAAGCCCAGCTGTTGGCCAGCACTGCCAAGGCCACCACTGGCCCACGTCCCCAAGTGCCACATCCACAGGGCTTTTAAATCCCTGCAGGGATGGGCACTCCACCACTGCCCTGGGCAGCTGTGCCAATGCCTGACCACCCTTTCCAGGAAGGAATGCTGCCTTAATATCCAACCTAAACCTCCCCTGGGCCACTCGAGGCCGTTTCCTCTCATCCTATTGCTCGGGAGATAATTCGTATTTGTTTCTCACCAAAGGCTCTTCCCCCACTCACGTTCTCTCTTGGCTGCTCTGATCTCCAACACAGGTACTGGAATTCCCTGAGGAATCTGGTGGTCTCCTTGCTGAACTCCATGAAGTCCATCATCAGTTTGCTTTTCCTGCTGTTCCTGTTCATCGTGGTGTTTGCTCTGCTGGGGATGCAGCTCTTTGGAGGACAGTAAGTCTAATTATTCATCCTGGGGCTGCAGGGCTGGAAGGGTCACATCCTGCTGCACTCTCAGTCTTCCTGGGCTGCTGAGACGTTCATAGGAAAATAGTTCCTGTTCCAGTGGGTTTACCTGGAGCTGAACTCTTCCCTAAGAAAGAACAACCCTAATTCAAAGCCCCCTTTGTCATCCCACAGTCCCCACATACCCCCATAAAGAAACAGGCCTGGGGAAGGCATCACTTTTTATTGAGGGAAAGGCAAATTCTTTCCCTGATATCCAGGGTGACAATGTATTTATTCACTTGGAATATTTTTCTGCTGGAAAACATGGTGCTGTTGAATCTGATTATTCTCATTAGAAATGCCACTTGTGGTGAATTTTCCAGCACGAAATATCACAGCATTATCATTTAAACCCCAGCATCGACTCTGAAATGAAATAACACGGGTTTATTTGGTCTTTTTTTTTTTTTTTTCCCCTCAGTCAATTGCTATTATATCTTTAAAATATTAAAAAGAAATTATCTACTAAGAGGGTAATTTCAATTTGGGCTTTCGCACCGGAGGACGAAAACTTCTTGGAATGGGTTGTTTGGCAAAAATCATTTGAGATTTGGATTGTTCATTTTAATTGTGGCTGCAAACGAATTTCGAAGCATCCGACTTTTCTCTGGGAATGAGACTGAGTTACTGCTAATGATCCTGTTGAGCACCTTCTGAGAGACACCGTGTTCCCTGCTGTGCTTGCCTGGGCTCTTACTGCCAGGTGGAACAAATGCTACTCCCTGACTGGGTTTCTGGGACGTTCCAGGGGATTAGGAGATGCCTGGGAGCTGCCTGGCCCTCACTGCTCCGCTTTTGGTTTCTCCCTTCTCTCCAGGTTCAATTTCCAAGACGAAACTCCGACCACGAATTTCGACACCTTCCCCGCCGCCATCCTCACCGTGTTCCAGGTAAAGCCACACCTTGGCCTGGGGCAGGGTTAGAAGAGGAATTCCTGGGCATCTCCTCTTGCTTGTGGAAGGCAAAAGAGGTCCTCAAAAATCTGTGGGATTTAGGAAAGAAATCCTTCCTTTTCACGTGTTTTGCTTCGCTGCTCGATCAACACATCATTAAAAAAATCAAATTAAAAATCAATGCTGTGGAATTAAAGAAAAGTAGAACAAAAGATTTTTTGCTAGGAGGAAAAAATATTGATAAAATAGATATTTCTGTGCTATTCTTAAAGTCTGTGTGTGCCCAGGCTGTTGTCTCCCAGCCCTGGGATGGCAGCTCTGGCTTGTGGATCCTGGAATGAGCCAGTGCTTGACCTGCTGCACTTTTGCCATAATTTAATGAGCAGAGAGGCCTGAGGGAGCTGCAGGCAGCAGGGAAATAATGCAGGATTTGGCCCAGTAATAAGTCCAGAGAAGTTAATGCTGGGTGAGAATTGCCTTCCACGAGAGAGGCACCGGCCTCGGGCGAGTTCGGGAGATGGCGGGAGGGACTCGCAGCTCTGGGAGATGCTGGGATTGAAAAGCTTCACTTTGCAGCTGTTTTCTTTGTATCTTTTTTAAATACAATTTTTGTATTTAATTTTGTATTTTTTAAATAAAATTTTTGTATTTAAAAACCCCAATTTTTTAAAAAAACAAAACAAAACAATTGTTTTTTTAAAAACAATCACTTCAGGTGTTCCAGTAAAAGCTGGGGCTGCTGCTCCTGGGTCTGTGGAACCCGCCCAGCATTTGTAACCTCATCCCACCCAAACTCCTGGGGTGGGCTCGAGCTGAGCCCAACTTACACACAACTCAGCGAGGTTTAACTCAGGTATTTTGTATTTTAGTGTCATGGCCCAAAAAGGGCAAAAAAAGAGGGGGATTGATGATGATTTTTGGATTAACACAAAGAATCTAAAAGCAAACGTGTCCTGTGAGCTCTTCCCGTGGGTGTTGCTTCTCCCCCAGCTGGGGAGCAGGTTCTGCCCTGACCTCCAGGATACTGCAAATTCATATTTGCACAGGATTTTAGTGCTCACCCAAGAAAGGGCTTAAAGATACAAAAAGGTATTGCCACCGAGCAGGAACTAAGCCCCAGTCAGGCTCGGGAATGTTGATGGGATTTTGCTTTGGGAATACGGTTGTCCATGAGAATATTTAGCTGAAATATTTCCTTGAGATAAATATGGGGTGAAGGAAAACACTGTTGGGTTTAGGACATTTGTCCAGAATGTCAGAGCTGTGAATTAAAACCAGCAAAACCCAACAGCACTGGGTTAACTCAGTGCAGCCTCCCAGAGGCATTTGGATAATAAAAATAATAATAGCAATAACAATAACATAATTTTTACATTACTTGATTATTATAATTACATACCACAC